AAATGGTTTATTATTAGGTTGACCATATGTGAGTAGATTTTTTTTTCTACTTCTGAATTCACCATGCTAAGCGCGAACACGTCATGCTAATAGCAAAGACCCCCAATCCAAAGAGGGCCGAGCATATTCAACTTCTACTCTTCTCAAAGTGGACATCAGCCGGACACATTGAGGCAAAGGTCAATTTTTCGATGGAGAAGAAACATGGCAAGGCGCCCAGCTAGCTCAAACTTGCAAGCATCCATCCGGATTGTGGGAATTGAAGAAATCACAGGAACTGTAGGGACTAAACTATGAAATCTCAACCGTCCGTGAACAATGCAGCTCACAGAATACAGCCAGTATGTAGGAGCCTTGGAAGTTAGTGTGGAAAGAGGAAACACTGAACTTGGAAGTTCTTTGAAAATAATCTTTTTGCTATTCACAGCTCAGTGATAATACCATTAAAAAAGAGTGAATATTTTACCTATTGTACCTTAATTAGCTTAAGTCAAGGAACAAGGTACATTTGGAAGTAATTAGTTTTTTTTTTCTAAAACAGTGAGTCTCTTCTAAAGTCCTCGACTTTACAGGAACCCCACTACAATTGATTGGCGATGGAGACCCCTGCTTTACAGGAAACGTTACTATTGCTAACCATGCCACTCGCTATTAACTCACTAAGGTTAGCCATCTCTTTAATCGTGTTGAATTTGCTCTGGAATAACTATCCAAACCTGCTCTGAAATAGAACTCATAAATGATCATTTCAACATCTAAAACCTTTCTGACAATATGAGAGATGCAAAATAACTTATTTTAAGTGTTCCAAAATATTTGATTGTAGATTTTGATTTCTGTGTGTGTTGCGGCAGAGCTGTGGAGGGAAAGTTGGAACTAGTTTCATTATGTTTCCACTTCTCTGGCCTCCATACTAGTTGAATAAACTTTTATTAAATGAGTAAAATTGAACAAAATTAATTTTGGGGGAGCAATAGCTTCAAGTTTTTCTAGCACAAGTAGCTTGCTTGTATAACCTTAAAAAAACATTTTTGTCTCAAAAAAGCACGAATCACAATATGGGCAAAACTGCTCAAACACTAACAAAAAGCCACCACATCAACCATTTATGTGTATTTTTTTAATAAGGAAATATGATTTCAACCTCGCATTCGGAGTCTGGATCCAGTCCGAACTAAATCATAATATTCTTGATATTTGATGTTCAGCTCCTGTGAGTAAAAACTTTGTAGAACCGCATTTAATCTTTCGGGATATGTCTGTTCCAACTTTCACATCTGCAGCTGGAATGTTTAATGAATCTGAGCAAAAATGACTTTCTTCTAAAATGCGAGCCAGATAATTTGTCTGTAAGTTAGAAATTCAAATCCTGTACCGTTAGCACTCAGGCAGAAATTAGCACATTTAAGGTCTAATTTTAAACTCTAAACAAACTCACTGGAAACTGAGCTTTCAGTGAGTCAAAATCTGAAGAGTTTAAGACTACAAACACTTTCACTAGACACTAAGTGTTTGTGTGGAGGATTAAAGGCCATCAATGCAGACAACACCGTCAGCCGTCAGATTGGTTTTTGACTGAAACGGCTGCCGTCGATTCTGAGAAAACCCTTCCCCGTGCCCTCTCCCTAAAAATAAATCACAGCCACTCTCTATGCTAATTTTGCCTGTCACAAAGTCTAAATGCCATTATCATTGGGGTCAGGTGCTGCCATTGCATGCATAAACGCTCGTGCGCAGACGGGCGGGCGGACAGCCGTAAGTGGCGGTAAAGGCGGCGTACGCCTCATGTGGTGAGAACAATAGACCAGGCTAACTGTAAATCTGCCAGTCAGGCCCAGATCTACTCCTCACAGGTGGAGGGGAGATAATATTGTGGGCTCAATCATGGCCAATTCAGCACACACAGACACCAGCTGCCTGCGACGTTTCGTCAAGGCGAGGCCACAAACGCAAGTTTAGAGGCGCGGCGCTTTCCACAGCGGCTCCTCTTCACGGCAGCGTTCCCACTCTCCAGACTGTCTTCTCTGGGTGTATCTCTCTAATCCGCTGTTCAAACAGTACTGACAACGGCTTTATTAGCTTTCGGCTGACATCACATTGTACTGTCACTGCTTGGGTGGTAGGGGAGTATGAGCTCTGCTACTCAGAAAGGAATGTGGCTTCTTTGAAATGTGTCCTTCTGGGGTAAAGAGAAAGAAAGAAAGAAAAAAAAGAAAGAAAGAAAGAAAGAAAGAAAGAAAAAAAAGAAAGAAAGAAAGAAAAGAAGAAAGAAAAAGAGGGACGATACAAGTTTGGCACTTCTTTGAAACTTCTCTATCAGTCAAACCTTAGCTCATGCCTTTACTTTCTTCCCTTGGAGCTGGAGAGCTCTCTGATGTGTCGTCTTCTGTATCAAACATATCATCCAAGGTCTGTTTGCCAAAAGGGATAAACTGTTAGAAGGAGGATTATAGCTCTGAAAAACATAGCAGTAATGCTATATTTATTTGGTTTTTTGGCACCGGAAAGGCTTGTAAAGATCGGAGAGTCTGTTAAGAAATGGGTTGTTTACATTGACTGTTGGACTCCTGGCTCTGACTACGTCCACAAAGAATCTGCAACTGTCTCCTGCTGCATAGAGTCCAGCATCACAACCCGAGTTCAGTCACCGGTTTCAATCGAATTTTTTAATTTTCACACGGCGACTCATTAACCAGTAGGTGCAGTCAGGCGAGCAACAGAAAGCCACCGGACCCAACGATCATTAAACGCGTCATGATAACAATCTGTCGCAAAATTGCTATTTGAAAGGGCTTGAAATAATTACAGCAGAGAGTTTTAATCAGTGAGGTCATCAGATCTGTAAAACCAAAAACAACAGTAGAAAAAACAAGAGCCAGAAAGGAGAAGAAAATGTTGTACGTGCTGGTTACAGTGTACCGCATTGTGAAGATCAAAATAAAACTGGTTGTTGAAGACAACGTTCAAAAGAAAAGGGGAGTTTGATTAATAGGTTGATTGGAGGAGCAAAGAAAGATTTTAAAAAATGACTAAAATGACAGTTTCAAATGGAAACTAAAACCAGAAATACTTTGAAGATGATGGAAAACTATCATCTGGATGGATCCAAAGACAAAACGGTCACGACTCAGCCAATAGTCAACTCCAAGGTGACCAAAGGACGTGGCTAAAACCTGGGAAATCCTCAGGAAAATCAGTTTCAGGTCTTTACAGTCTGAATATTTAAAATTTATTGAAAATTGGTTTTCACTGAATGTCTCAATGGACACATTTCATAGTGATGGAGTGCTGGTGAAGCATTAGTGGCACACTGACCAGACCAGTGGGTTTTCAAAAGACTGTCTATGTATTGTAAAAGTTAGAATGTGTAGCAGATTGTATCAGCAAAATTACTACATCTTTCATGGACCACTTGTTAGTTTACAAAGCACTTTCATCGTAACCTGTTTAGAATATATGTGTTTTTTTTCCACTGTACTGTTTTTATTAGAAAAGCACAAACAGAACCCATGTCTATAAATTAGCTGGTAGCTAGAAGGCCTGTGTAAAGGGCAACGGTTGCTTTGTGACATTGCTTATGCTTGGTTCCTGACCAAATACATCTAAACGGAATGAAACAAAGCCAAACCAAGCTAACAGAAACAATACCAGTTCTGGGAAGGTGTCTGCTCTGTGAAGGGAGACAGATCACAGAATAATGTGTGTAGGTCGTGTGCCTTTACCATCTCTATAGATGACAGCGAGATTGAAATGGAGGAAGCGGGGCAATTACTAACAGCGTGTTTAACCTTTGGGCTGCAAGCTCATCGGAGCTCCGCAGAAGAGACTTGCCAAATTAAATCACATCTCATAACCTGGAGCAGAGAAGTCAGAGAGCGTGGAGGGGCTCGGGCTGCCGTGGCAACAGCAGAATCCGAACCCCAACTCCTCAGATCCTTGTTGTTGTTTTTTTCATCTCAATGCCTCCTGTTCTGCACACTGACCGGTCACATTCTGTTTTCCTCTCTTATCATCTACCTTTCTCTTCAAACTTCTGTTGTCTTATTTTACTAATGCTGGTCTTCTTTTGACCATGGTGTCCAGCATTCTTCATGTACTGAGGCATAATAGTTTGGGTTAACCCACATAATTAGCTTCAAACTAAATGTTTAGTTCGAAGCTAAATATTTGGCTTGTTAACTAAATATTTAGTATGAAGCTAATTATTTAGCTTGCTAACTAGATATCTAGTTTAAAGCTAAATATTTAGCTTGCTAACTAGATATCTAGTTTGAAGCTAGCTATCTAAATATAACAGCTAAATATTTAGATAGTTAGCTCCAAACCTTTATCAGGAGTCCCCCCCCCCACGCCCCCCACCCCCACCCATCATTTGCACGTTCCAACATTCAAAATGTCTAAATAGGATGTCTCCTATTCAGACACCTCCTATTGCTAAATAGGAGATGACATCTAACTATTTAGCAAACTAGCTATCTATAGTTAGCTTAACATTTTGGGTTTAGCTTGGAGCTAAATATTTGCTTCAGGAGGATTCAGGGGGAAAAATGTTAAAAACTCAAGTCCTTCTCTGTATAAACTATTCAATGTTGCATACTTAACAGTATTCATATTGTGAGCATCTGTTTCACTGTCTCTGTTGTTTAATTGTTGAAGGATTTAATAAACATCAACATTTAAAAAAAATATTTAGTTAGCGAGCTAAATATTTAGCTAAAACTGCATCAGTTATGGCTAAATAACATGGTGAAAATCTGACTAACAAATGAACCCCTTCATTCTTCTCTTATGAAAGACTAAATAAACCAAATTCTTGTTAACTTCTGACTGTGTAGCTTAAAATGTGATTCTTTGCGTTTTGACATCTGCATTATCAGAACCTGCAATAACTTCTTTTGCAATGTGAGCTACATTATTGAACTTTGGTCTGACATGTACCAATGACCCCTGTCACCTGTTCACCACTGTTCTTTCCTTGGAGCCAGTGGCGGTTTCTGATATGGGCAACATGGCCAACCGCCCAGGGAGGCATCTTGTGGGGCGCCCCGACCCCTCTATAGAACCCTATAGAACAGTAATATCTCACAAGAGCTGCAATTTTCGAGATGTCATCTCACCATAAAGTTTGTTAATGTCAATTTCACTCAAATCCTGATGCTTGCCTATTGTTCCTACTTGGAACAGATGAAATCAACTTATTAAGATCAGTTTGGGGAGCAGATAAAATTATCCAATAGTCTACTTAGTCAGTTCACCTAACTTTCACTGTCCATCACAATCCTTCAAACCCACCCTCCCTGACGTCACCTCATCCCTCCTCCTGCTCCTTATCCCATCACCCTCATCCCTACTTTCAATTCTCATTCTTCATCCACTCCTCTTTGTTCCAGGTTGTGGTTAGAGAAAAGACCGTTGCTTGAATACTGCACCCCCACACTGAGTCACCACCATCCAAACCTTTATCAGGAGTTCGTTCCCCCCACATTCCCCTCAATGACACATCCCCACGTTCAATCCATCCATCACCTCAACCCCTTTCTTCAATTAATCTTTATACTCACTGTGGTTGTTGGTAGAGAAATGACTTTGGAGGAAAACTTGTTCTCCTGCTGCTCATTAGATCCCACTCACTAACTTTTGCCACAATGAAGAGATAATGTGTGTTATTCACTGCAACTGTAACTGCTATTAATGTCAGGCCTTCCTTTGTTTTTCAACCCCCTACTTTCAGCTTTTCTTTCAACGAGTTTCCTTTCCTTCAATGTTGTCATATTACACTCTTTGTTTTTAAGTGGTCGCTCCTTTTGTGTCTGCCTTTCGTTCTCTTGGCGTGGGGCTGTACAGCAGCACGGTTGGTAGAGATGTTACCTTGCGGAAAAAAGTCCTAGGTTGAAATTCCAGCCTGCGGTCTTTCTGCATGCAGTTTGTGTGTTCTCCCTGTGCATGTGTGGACTCTGTCCGGGTACTCTGCCTTCCTCCTACAGTCCAAGAACATGACTGTTATGTCAAATGGTCTCTCCAAATTGTCCTTAGTGTTTTTTCCCGTCTTTCTTTGTGCTGTCTGGTCATGTCTAGGGAATACCTTGTCCCCTGCCCAATGGCTGCTGGAGGTACAAGGACCAGCGGGTACAGACAACAGATGGATGGGTTCTCCTGGCATCCCGCTCACGAGTCTCCGCAATGCATGTGCTGCGTTGACCTTTCCCAATGACGATTAAGCTGATCAATAAACTCTTGATCCGTCTGCATTCTCTGGATACTCTCCCAGAGTGAGCTGGAGAGTTGGCTGGAGGGTGGGGGACGGTGGGGGTCCCTTCTAGACCTGTTGTCCCTGCAAGCCAATCTCAGGGAAATGAAAAACTGTGGTTGGATGGATTTTATTCTTTCTTTTCATATCTTTCTTTTCCATCTGTTGCCATTCCATTATCTGTCCTGCATTTTTCCAGTTCATTCTCTCTCCTCTCTCAATTTGTTGTCTATTTCTACTAGCCATTAATTTAACTGTTTTTGTTCTTTCTACTCTGTTCACGTTTTGTTCCTACCAACTCATTATTTTCCTTGTCCAATTTGCCATTTCAAAGTTGTCTTGGCAAATATTTCCTTCAAAAATTCCTTCTTTTTTTCATTGTGTTTCCTTCTTTTGCTCATTCTGTTCTGTTTTCCTTCTCGTTTGATTTATATCCTCTCCCCTTCTTTTTCCATTTTCTTCTTTTCATTCCCTAAACATTAAGTCTCACTTAATTTCCTCCTATTTTTTTCTCTCCAAAGAGTTTTGATTTTAATTTGTTTTATGCTACAAGCCATCCCTTTCCTTTCTTCTTCTTTGCTTTGCCCTTTTTTCTTCCTCTCAAAATACAAGTCCATATTAGGTAAAAGAGATGGAAGTGGATGCATCTATCTTCTGGAAGATTGAAATAAACATTCGACTTAAAATGCGTCAAAGACTATAAACGTTTGGACCACTAAAACTCAATCTAATCCCAAAAAGAGAGCGCAGAGGGAGGTCTGTTCTCTCCCAAATGACAGAGGTTTCTCTTTTTAGGACGAAGCTGCTCATTCCTCGGAGTCAGCGGACGAGAAAATAGGATGACTTAGTTCTATCTATTTGGAGCCACTTAGCGAGCGCCTCGTCTCTTCGCCGCACAAGACGAACGGCATCGGAGAGAGCTGATGTAGCCCCGCCGCGCCTCACTGCTCGGATCCCTCACCCGATGCCGAAGTTATTTTCCTTCTCTGTATTTCACAGTACAAGCATCAGTGTGTCTCCATTAGCTCTTATGGTGTTAAAGAAGGTCGACAAATTAATGGCAACGCCCCCGTGCGCGACACTGTTGTTTGTTTTCCAACTTGGATAACGAAAAAGGAGAGGACTGCAAAAAGGTCAGGAATGCTGGAAAACGTTCGGAGAGAGCAGTTCTCTCCCCAGAGTTTCCAGTCTCTCTCTGAGCCCCGTCGACTGTTTCGCGTTTGAACAACGCGCGCATGGGCTTGCAATGGGCGATGCAAACGTGGAGTTTTTGACGTTGGCGTGTCTGATGCCGTTCCGTGTTTAGAGAGTTTGGATGTGTTCATCCCAGTGGGAGGGTTTTCAGCTGGTGATGCTTGTTTTATTGAATAAAGACTCATCACGTGTGATGTCGTTACTTTCATCAAATAATGAATTAAATCTCAAGTGTGAAGTGAGCACATTATCAGCTCATTTATTTTTATGTTCCAAGCTGATGACTGCTCAAAGGTTCAGCTACAGTGGCTTGCAAAAGTATCTACAAGATATTTTTTCACATTTAACCTCCAAACCTTGGTGTATTTTATTAAAGGATTAATAATGTGTGTTTTCCAGCCACCTGCTGCCATTTTATTGCACAATCAAGTAACTATACTACCTTCAGTTGTTATAAAAATGCCGTATATATCAAATATGAGTTAAATAATTTTGACTTCATAATTTAACGCTTTATAATTAGCTTGAAAACTGCAGTTTCAAGGCATCTCAAAGACAGTGCTAGGTCCATCCAGGCATTTTTCACAGCTGAATGGTTGTCACGGGAGATTAAAAGATTTGTGAAACGTTCATGAAAGAATCAAGGCACCTCTATAGGTATGTTTTTGATGAGGTAATAACATTACAACATGATATAAATCTCAAAAAAGTCGATTTTACGTATTTGTGAAATGGCAGAAAAACTAAACATGGCACACATTTACATAGCCTCTCAGTACTTTGGAAAAGCATCTCTTGCAGCACGGAGCTTAAATTGTTACCTTTTGATCTTATTAAAGCTTCTCGTTCTTCGTCAGATTGTGGTCAGAGTGCCACAGATTGTGATTTAGGTCTGGACTTTGATGAGGACATTCAACCAAATCGATACTCTGTGATTTAAAACTCAGTGTTCAGGTTCTTTGTTTTCCTTCTTGTCGTATTTAATCCGTAGAACTCCATTGGTTTTCACCAGCTTTCCTGTTGCTTCTGATGAAAAGCAACCTTACAGCAATGATTCTGCCACTATGTGAATATGTTTTGACGTATCCCGTTCCAGTGTAGTTCTGGGTGTGTCTTTAGTGCTTTTGTTCCCCTGGAAGGCGAATCTGTCCTCTAGTGTCAAGTCTTTTGAACCCTACACCTGTACCTCTGGTCGACTATAAGTTTTCCTCTCAACAGATTTCATTTAAGGCAATCAGCGCAAAGGAGACAGAATTAATCTGCAACACCTTTTTGAAAATTATGCATAGTTTTTTTTTCCTATTTCAAACGCTAATAAAGAAAAGGAAGTGATTCGAGGGGTATAAGTATGCAGTTTTCTTGATCATGTCTGTTTTACCCATCACAGGAATTGCTACTTAAGCAGAGTTACATAGGGCTCAGTGTTAGGTCTTAGCAGAAGAAGTTCCAAAAGAACATAATCAAGCTAGACAAAATGAAACACATCACCTGAATAACCTCAATTTGTCTGAAGAGGCGTGTGTTGCAGAGTGGTGGTGTGAGGCGCAGGCGATGAAGGCATTTTCCAGGCAGCTAGGGGTTTCACAAACTGCTGAAATGGAGTAGCACTGTGGGAAATGTCAGGTCAAGCTTGAAAAGACATAATTTGTCCCACCGTGGAGGAAATCAAGAGGGCCTTTGCCGCTGCTCTGAACAGGCTGCTGGGAGATTGCTTTGAGGTGGTAAAGCCTCTGTTGCTTACAGTCATGGCCGACGCTTTGGGTGGTGAAACAAATGTCTATTTTTTGGTGGTGGGGGAGGCTTTTATTGCTATGGATTTTTTATGGTAAACTGAACATACAAATGCATCAAACGTTTGTAAAGATCTACATTTACAGTGTTTAGCCTTTTTTTCTGGATTCTGTAATCCTCATGGTGACCCACCCATTCTTGTCTGATTAGCAGGTGAAGATATTCAGTTTGTTCTGTTTCTACATCCATTTTTTGAGAATTGACTAGAGCTTCATGTGGTCACTTATGTGGTTAAAACTCGGGAAGCTTGCTTGTCACAGATCCAAAATTTCTGTCTTCATGTCGCTGGATCTGTGGACAAAGATCCAACGCTGTGAAGGAAGTCATTAGCGCGTCTGTTAAAAATGTCCGTTTCCTGGTGTCGGGATGTAGGCAAAGATAGAGAGACATTACTGATCGAGGGAACATGGAGATTGTGATTGTGGGCTATGGAGGTCAAATATTACTGACCAAAGAACCATGGAGACTATGCATGCATCAATTTCAACTTTTACCTTTTCATACAAAAGAAATAGGTTTTCCCGATGTTTCAAACAATGAGGAGGAATTCATCGTTTGTTTTACATTTCTGTCTCAAGGTCCTTCAGCCGAAGGTCTCTCCCATCTTTCGCCAATCCAGAGCCGTTCTGCAAAACCATCCAACCCCGTTTCCCAGAGCCCACTGTCCTGCATGCCTTAGAGATTATCTGCTCCTTCATACATACACTTCATACAGATGATTGGATTAACCCTATGCCCTATAACCCATTTCCTAAGCGTGCCATTGAGGACTGCAGAAGCCTTTTAATGACTTGTTCCTTTTCAAAGAACATCTAAATCAAGGACAGTGGGCCCTTGGTGCAAGGGTGAGGGGCCACGGCTGTAGATGGCCCTGATGTGATGGTGGCCAGCTTGTTTTCTTCTTCAGTGTTTGCTAACACAGTGGGACATATTTTATAGCAAATTGGTGTTTTGCACCAGTAACAAAACACCGTGAAAGAAAATTTAAAAGGACTTACCTGTAGAATTTTGCAGCGCTCAGAGTCACAGTTGATGTCCTCGCAGGGATGAAACATGCCCAGTGTCACGCAGTTCAGCAGGATCACCAACATGGACGCTCGTTCGAACCATGTGGAGGAGGGCGAGTTAAGGAAGGCAACACGGCAAGATGACAACAGCAACAGGCAGACACAACAAGTGGCAAACAGAAGGATGCGTTTCCTCCAGCGACCTCATTATGCTTGCCTCGCCTGACAAGCGGATGCTGGTTTACCTCTTTCGGTACAGTTTGAATTCTAAAACTGTTTTTGAGAGCAAAATGAGCCACAGGAGAGTCAGGACAGGGGGGAGATGCAGGGGGAAGAAACCCACCTGTGGCTGACACTGCTCCCGTTCCGCACCGTTGGGCAAGGATCTGCTAGGAAGGCGTGCTGGTAAATGATCAAATTGTTGGCGAGGGAAATGGATAAGTAGATAAAAAACGATGTGAGGCACAACAGAGGAGCACGCCAAGAAAGTGGGACAAATTCGATAGCGATAATGTCAGTCAACGTGGGGTCGACGAGGAAGGGCTTAATATGGTTAGGGCTTAAACACAACTGTGACACAAACGAATGAGTTGGCTATAGAAAGGAAAAAGAGGTTAACACTACACACACACACACACACACACACACACACACACCAGAGCTGCACACCTACATCCAAACATTTATCCCGCATATTATAGATTGCTACTGAAGCTGCAGTCTGCACAAAGCCTGGTTAACAAGGTTTGGCGCGATAGACAGTTTGTCATCCTTTTGCGTGTGTGTCGGAGTGTGTGACGCGTGACCTAAAAGTCATAGAGGAAGGTAAATGTGTGCACACTGGCCAAGAGGAAAAACGACCTGCCGGTCTTTTACCGCATTAGCCGACACATGATCATTTATCTCGCTAAGCCGTACTGAAGATGGGTCAGCTAGCCTTTTGCTAGCCCTCCGTTGTATTGTAAGACTAAATGAGCCATTATGTTGTATTGCAGCAGAATTCAGGGGGAGATAAATTCACCTCTAAGGGATTTAATGACCTAAAAGGTTGATCTGAGGAAAATGACGAGAACTTGACCCCCATAAAAATACCTTCAGCTGCCCAGAACTTGATTTGAAAGTCATGTAAAATCACCTACTCATAAAGATTTTAAAGGAGAAGTCAAAAGGTAGCCAGAGAAGAATAAAAGGTTAAAAGAGTCTCCATGGCTCTATGCAGCTGTCTTGGCATCAGCTTTTGTTGTGTTGACAGTCAGTCAGAATTACCATTTGCTGGCCTACGATAATAATAACCTTCATTTAACCACATAAAATCCCTCGTTGAAATCAGGTTTGGACTATTCAGTTCCTAAGTGGTCATATGATCAATGTTAGAAGGGTTTTGTACAGTTTCAACTAGTTCATATAATTCAGATTCTAAGTCTCCAAAAGAACAAAAGGATTCCCAAAGCTCAATTTGTATCTCAAAGAGTTCAGTGTAGAATTACCCAGTTAAGCTTTGATCAGTCTAAGTGCTATAGATTTTTAAATCAGAAGCAATCGAATAACGTCTAAGTTTTCTAACGTTAGCCATTTAGCTTAAGACAAATAGAGAGCTTGAAAGCAGACGCTAGCTTGCATCGTTAGCCGTCCACGGTAGCATTAGAGTTCTTTCAAATCAAATACATCATGCTATCCTGTCAGTGTTTTGTTTTCACATCGGTACCTAGCATGTCACAAAGAACTGTAACTGGACTCAGCTACAGTTGAGCTAACCGTCAAACCAGGATGTATAGTTATATTACTACTTCAAAAAAGAAGTGGGAAACAGATACAGGATGTCATAATAATAGCTTTGACTGATTTAGCAAGTATGTGGTGGTTGGAAGAGAACATTTTACTTCACTTATTTAGTCTGCATCAAGCCACCAGGTCTTATTAAAGCCCAATGAGCCACATTTGTAAAATGGCGCATTCAGCCAAAAAGGTAAATTGGTTTCACAAGTGGAAATCAGACCGTGTCCATTAAATACATTTCCAGCAAATACTGTAAATCGAGGGATGTTGGGAACGAGCTGGACCCATTACCAGACAAGCATCCAGGTTAAAGCAGATACATGCTGATTAAGGGAAACATTAAATATGAATAATCTGACTAATTTAATCAATATGTCTTCCTCTCCTGCCTTCGCTCTCTTCCTCTGCCTTCCCAGCTGGCGGTCTATAATTAAGCAAAAGAACGGGGTGTTTCCAAGTGTTCTGCCCCACTGTTAAACCCACACCCACCCACACACACACACACACACACACACACACACACACACACACACACACACACACACACACACACACACACACACACACACACACACCTTCATGGGTGTCAGCATGCCAACAAGTGGTGATGCCCTGAGGGATGGATTCAATTAGAAGGAAGATGCAGAGGGATATGCCCTGTCAAAATCTGAAAGCAAGACGGCTACACGCTCCGCTCCCTGCAGACACACACGTTCAGAAGTAACACAATCAAACTAATCAGCACCTCAAAACACACTCTGTGTTCTGCTCCCTTGGGTTCTTCTCGGCTCTCACGCACTTTCGCTCCGTCACGCTCACGCGCACGCAAAAAAAACATGCACACAATTAAAACCTCTTTCTTCTAGTTTAATGAAGGGAAAACAAAGAGGTAGCTTAATGTTCTACCACTGATTTCCTCTGATTTTCATCTCGCCGTCCACCAGGATTCAAGTGGAGGCTGAAGCCAAGTGAAGTAAGGTAACAGAAAAGTTGGATGTTAAAGATAAAGACTAGACTCGTGCTGTGATGTTTTCTTTGGCTCTTCTTTTTTTCATGATATCCGGGGGGTGAATCCTCAGCAGGCAGAAACAGTGCAAGGGCAATCAATACCGGCGAGCCGCTCCGAATACTTATTATTCATTGTGTTTACGAGAACTCTCGCCGGACGCCGTTCTGCACTCGTCTCCACCCCGTTTCATCACACGCAACACCGTCTTGGCTTTTGAAACATTCGTCCTCTTAATCTTCGCCTCTCGCCAAAGATGATAAGGTTTTACCAAAAGCTGCTGAAAACATTTTTACTATTCATTCATTCTGTCGGGTAAGAAATTGAATCAGGTTTTTTTTTTTTCTTCCCCCACATTGCTGAGAACATCTTTCATGTGATGATGGACCAACACAAAGAGTGTGTAGTTGTGAAATAGTAGGAAAAAATAATCAGAAAAGTTCAAGATGCATATAGAGAAACTGACTTTTTGGCACTTCATGTTGAAAACATCAGGATTTCAACTGGTTCTTTTTTAGATCTGTGTTTTGATTGGATCAGCCAACATGGCATTTCTTTTTTTGGTGAGCCACAAATCTACACAGAACCATACAGTGTAGATTGTACCATACATCTGTTGAGATGACATCGGAAACGTAAACCATGCTTCCATGCTCTAGAGATGTTTTTGCCTGGTAACCGTCTCACTTGTTCAGAATCTACATTTTCAGATGTAAACTCTACCATTGAGTATGCTAACTGGGACTTCTTGTTTTTTTTTTTTGTTTTGTTTTTTTGCTGTTATTGCCAAATTCATCTCCAATTGTTTGCTGCGAAACTTGTATTGCATGCCTTAAGCTTTACAGCTTATAGGTAAAGGTTAATGGACATCAAGTGAAATATCAAGACTGATGCATCACCATCATTTTTCTTCGTAGACTGACATGGTTGAGTCTTCGAATGAGTTCTATAAACGGGGTTCTTGGTAACCGGTACCTGGCACTGAACAAAACACCTGCACAGACAAGTGAATTCAAGCCAGTCCATGAGCAGACATGTGCACATTTATGTCGGATGACAGTGACAGATAGCACATTACAAAGGGCTGCTGCAGTCACATTCAATATTTCATGAACATCCTTTCTCTTTCAGTTTCCACCTTTTTTTAACCCCCCACATCCCTTTATGGCATGTTCAGCACTCTTTCTGGAAGAAAAAGTTTTATTTTTGTCACCCTACCTCCATAATGATAGCGGGTAAGGCAGCGCGGAGAGAAAAGTGAAAGGTGAGAGCAAAGAAAGTCCTTTGAAGGGTTTGGAGAACGGAGGGATTGACAGGAGAGGAGCGGTACGCAGCTGTCTTTGACTATCTTACTTCCTGTTTTGCTTACCATCACATGAAGTGGTGGAGGTTTTGGGGCTTTGTAAAGTTTTCAGCATTCCCCTCCTGAGAGGAAGAATTGGCATCTAGTTGTCATGGTACTAAGACAAGGAGTGAAGTTATTGTCAGCGTTTCCTCTAACAGCCGTTTTGGAACCATCTGAGGGATTTCTTGCAGTAAAGCAACTAATTTTATGTACTGTCTTATAATTCCACTAAGCAAATCTTCTAGAATCAGTTTTATTCAATGTTATAATCCATCACCAGTAGGTGCTACAAATGAAAGGTGTTTAATCACCAGCAAGTGTAAACAGCACAATAAAAGCAGAGCTTTGTCGTTAGCTACGTTTCCACGTTTAGTTGCGCAAACTGGAAATACGAAAATAAGGAATGTGTTTCGTGGAAACATGCTAATTTAGAAAACAACTCATGTTTTTCAAAAAACGGTTTTGAGCTAGGATACGGTAGTTTTTCAAAATTCAAAATTAGTGTATTTCACAAAACTGCAATGGAGACACGTTTTTCGCATCAACCGAATCGCGTGATCAACGACGGCATGTGACTGCTGGCAGCCATGTTGTGATGACTTCCTGAAGGCGGAGTTTCAGAAAGAACAGGAGTTGCTTAAAGAGACGGAGGCCCAATTTCAAGGTGTTAAATTACAAAGTCAAATGTATTTTAAGTCATGTTTGAGACAAACAGTGTTTTTATAACTGAATGTAACATAGTTACTTGATTGTGATATAAAATAGCACCATGTGTCTGGAAAATACAAAATACTGCCCCTTTAACTGTAATCTTAGTTGTAAACATTTACTTTTGAGTTTGAGTTGAACAAACCCGTCCCGCCGTTAAAGAAGAAAGCTAATTAACAGTCTGAATGCAGTAATCTTCAGGGCATGTTGGACTGTCCTTAAAACACCCCTGAAACAACCCAGCATGACATACTGGCATCTGTGTACCGCAACAGATGTTAAATTGATGTTTCATCAAAATTCCGTCAGGGGCTTTGAGCTTGTAAATATGTTGCCGCGGAGGAATGCCAGGAGGAGCGCCTCTGAGCCCCGCGGCCCCCCGTGTTACGGCGAAGCATCACGGCTAACTGCGTGGAAAATCCTGCTGGTGTAACGCAGCGTATCCCAAACCGCCCGCTGACAGGGCTTAGCAGCAGCCCTGAGTCAGGAGCTGGGGAGTTAAGGAGGTGGAGGAAAATAGTGGCATATTGTTGTGTTGGCTGTATCAGTGCATACCATATGAGAGGAGGGGGTTGGAGGAAAGAAAAGGGAAGGAGAAGGGAGCGGGGTGAGGGGGTGGGGATGCAAAGAACGGCCCAGAGAGCTGAGCAGGGAGGATGGATGTGTGTGGGGGAGGAGGGAGACTGAGGGAAGGGAAGGTGTGATACTGAGCATTCGGGAGGAGGAAAAAAAAAACGAACACTGAGGGATCGACAGGCGAAATGCAAAAAGTGGAAGGCAAGCAAAAAATAGGAAGCGCGAGCAAAGTAGATAAGGCTGGACTCTCATTCATAATGGAGTTTTATACGGTATATTCCACTGCACTGTGGTGTGTAGGGGAATGTATCGGCAGAAGGGCAGGTGGGGGAAAGATAACTGGCCAAACAACTCTGTGGGCGGAAAAGTAGGGGTAAACACCATTAAACTTTTATCAGCTTTTATTATTGATAAATGTATCTCCTCACTCCAAGATGCTATCCATTTACCAAAAAAAAATTAATAAAATAAAAGACTGCAACTTTGTTTTCCCATCTCCCTGCTCATGAATATGGATGCGTACAATCCACCAACTATCACACTGACACAATAGGGTCTCTCAGGAGGAATTATGGGAAGAGATCAATTTTTATGTGAGAGACGTGAAAGAAAAGAAGCGATTTTACAATCTCTTTTTATCCCACGTAGCCAGAAGGAATCCTGCTTATCGTCCAGAATGCCCTCATGTGGATACAGAGACCCAGACAGTTTGTGCGTTTTTATATACGAGTTGTACTTCTATATCATCTCCCACACACACACACACACACGCACACACACCTCTCTCATCAGCTAGGAAGCACCCCTGTATCTTGCCACTGCGGGCTGCGAGTTGCTTAGCAACGCTGGCTTTCGTTGGGGAAGCATTAGGAAGTCACATTTCGGTTGCTGTTGAGTCTGCAGCCGAGGCGACGAGGCAGAGTTGTCGCAAAATGCCGAGCGGAACTTTGAAGACCTGTGACGGGGCGAGACGTTCACTTCAAAATGCGCCGTGGGACGCAGGAACTGAGGAGAATGTGACTTCTTATCTCGCGATCGGACGCCCGCTTTGTCACCTTCGCTGTACGCCCCCTCAATCCGTGGGTTTTCAAACCATCAGCCCTGGGGGTCACATGGGTCCAATGGGAAGAGAGGAACGGCGCGTGACCAGAGATGATCTTTTACCTGTAAGAAGTCATAAGCCTCTGATCTACCGTGATGGGAGCAGAAAATGATACTCTGCTATCCTGTTAAATGCCAGCAGGCCAGCGTGTGAAAGCCAAAAAGAAGAGACGAGCTGGCTCAGTGATGCAATTTAAGGAAATATCTCTCCAGTCAGCGAGAAGGCAGGAAGGAAGACAGTACTGTACCATGAGGCACCCCGGATGGATTACAGTAGCTGCTGGCCGAGCTTCATGTATGCTAATTGTTCCAGTGTGATTTTATGACGGGCATTCTGTCATTGTAAAGGCTAATTGGCGCTCATTTAAGACTGGGAATTTATCTTCGTTTATGCTTCTTTATCATAAAGTTACAACTGTGTTGCTCTAAAGACTGTTGGTGACCACATTATTTTACTAGGTTTTTGAGATGGACAGTGTGTAGGTTCTTATGAGCTACCAAAAGGTGACCGGCATCTTTTGATGCCACATTGCCCTGAATTCCTGTTACAGAACACACAAGTATCAAAAGTATGCAATTAAATTGTGGGGGGGGGGGGGTTTTGTCCAGATGACGTCCAGCATGAATATCTTCCTTTAAACTTGCCAGCATGGATGCCTGGTTAGGTGATAATTACTCCCCCATCTCAATACCACATCTCTTAAAACCCAATGCATCTCTGTGCATCATTCTGTCTTTGCTCAAGTCATGGCCCTTCAGCAGACTTCTCCCAGTTGCGCCATGCCATGTTTTTTTCTCTGCTATTGCGACAAACTCCGTTTTTTGTTGCTGTTTCGCTGATGCAAACATTCATGCTAGCAGTCCCAATTTGCAAAGGCAGTAAAAGCTAAACATAATTCTGAGGACTTCTTGTCTTCTGGAAAATAATCAAAAGCAAGGAAGTGCTCTCAGATGTGGGGCAGAGAAAAATAGTTTACAGTCCCAGTCAGGTAACGCCTATTAAACACAGGAGACGCAAACTCCCCACTGACAGCAATTGGCAAAAAAACAATGCAAAGCTTGCTTAGGCCAAAACTGACAGACATTGTTATTCTGCTATTAGTATGTCTTCACTCAATCATCAAGAGGCCAGCTCAGAAACAGTCATGGATCCCCCAACACAGTAAGACCAGAGCTACAAAATAGCAGAAACAGATTTCTCTTAGACAAGAAATATTGTATGTTTTATTTCATTATCATGGGAGTTCATCACACACCCAACCCAACAATAAAACTGTATAGCAATGCCACTGTTTACTGTGAAGATAGGATTTTACAATCCTAAAGTTTATAGCTTAATGGCAACATTTTTCATTGTCACTGAAATAGACTTCCTGTGAAGATATTTGTTTTTGCTTGGCCTTTCATTATTTGCTGACTTGTGGAACTGTCTAATAATTTTAAAAAAGCACTGGGAATATTACCCTTTACAACCTTAAAAGTTGAACCTGTACAACTAATAAACTCAACTGCTGCAATCAAATACAAAAATACAAAAATGCATTTGGAATAAACCATAATGCAGTTATGCAAAAAATACTTTTTAGTTTCTACTTAATGATGCACAAAGTACACTCCTCCAGCTAGCGCAGCTCAAACAACTCTCCGTTAGATGGAATCTGAATCCCTATGCAATGTTTCCAAGTCGTGTTCATCTGTGTTATCTACACAAGACGACCATTTGTGTCAGCAATAGACAGATCGACAAAACAGACGCAGAGCCATAAATGTAGATTAAATAAGAAGCACAGAACCCAGATTGACATTGAAATGTGAGCACAAAGAAACACCCGAGGCTACGAAGTTCTGTCAGGACTCTGAATTTGCAGATATGTGTCTGTCAGACAAGTTACAGCGCTGAATCTGTCATGCTAATTGACAGAGATGTACCGGCCAGTGTGTGTGTGTATCTGTGCAAGCTAGATAGAGAGAGGCTCTGTGTGTGTGCATTTGTTGGTGAGTTGAGGTGCTTGATGGTCCATGTGCCTTTGAGTGTGAGAGAGAGCTTTAACAACCCCTGGGAAAAAGAAATCACATACACAGACAGTGCTGAAGACAAACTCCAGCAGAAACTGATCTAATGTGTGTATGAATACTGTCTGAGCGCACGCGCACACACACGCACGTACACACACACACACTCACACACATGAGTTGGAGTTCGAAGAAGCAAATGAAAAGAAAATGGAGTGTCAAAGGTAAAGTTCTGAAAGGGTGTTGAAATTTTACAATATTTCTTGTCAAAATGAAGTCTGAATCATGAAGCAAAATCCAGTTTTATCTGTTATCATAAGGACAATTTATGAAGGTGAGTGGTTAAAACTTGGCACCCTGTACGGTAGACCCCGGTGTTCACTGGGGTTAGGGACCAAAGCCGCCCGCTAACAGCTAATACCAGAGAATCCCTCAATCAAATGCCAACAGCCAACATTGTAATCAATGTGTATTAATACGCACAGTGGAAAACGTCTTAGCACTGCCAAGGAAGCTAACATCTACAGCTCCACTTTTGGTGGAACAGCAAATCAGTGCCAGGGGAAGTAAAGGTCACTTAGCAAATGCTAGGCAATAATAGTGTGTCAATTAGCATTATGCCTAAGCGTTTTCCTGTGCTACCTTTCTTTTGATTATTCAAGATATGCTCTCTGCAAATAATTTGTTGAAAAATCTGAATTCTGAGGCAGGGGTCTGCTATATCTATGTTCAAGACTTTTTCTTTGCTTTTTTTTTTTTTTTTTAATTAAACAGGAAGAAGTAGCGAGCCAAGCTCTGTTTTCAGAGATTGAAAGTTGATTTAACATTATAAACGTCTGTCCGTTGTTTTTTTTTCGTTTTATTCGTTGTTAGCTTTAGCCTCTGTGACCGGCTAATCTGGATATACTCGAAATGCATGGGATATGGGAGTAGTTTAAAATGTTGACTGCTTACAACCTTTTAGCAGAATCTCATTTGAAAAATCTTAAGCTGTCCAGCTGAACAGAAAAGGTACAGACATAACAAAGAAATATGACATTGAATTAAACAAGCTAAAGTAATGAACAGAAATGGAGTCAAAATGTTATTAACTGATCTGAAAGCTCTGCTATGAGAAGATTTAATCCTTGCCAGAACATTTAATTTTTTACCATCAGAACATGGACAAAAATGGCCAAAAGAAGGCATTGCTGAAGGCTAATATAGTCGTTCCAAACCACTGGTTGGACTTTAGAGTGATAGATGGGATAGAGATTATGCTAAATGAGGCCAGAGGTCAGAGAACGTTTCAGTTCCTAAACTTCTCATTAATTAGGCAGACACTCATTCGGTTCCTCAGCCCCACTATCTCTTTCATACACTCACCAGGCTGCCACAGCTATAATTTATTTATTCATTGAGTCTATTGAGAATGCTTTTCTCATTCCAAAATTAGCACAAACACGAAAAAATGAGCACTTGAACATATCTGCATATAGCCATGTGTTCAAATCCAACAGAAAACTAATTGGCCTCCGATCTTTAGAGGAGAGAGAGCACAAATATTGTGCTGGGCTTGACAGGTTAGGAAGAGGTCAACTAGCATAGCAGTGGAAGCAAATAAAAGCTAAAAGTGCAGAAGCGGGAGATCAAACCTCTCGTGAAAATAGGCAAATAGAGGGGAACTGAGATATTAGAGGGAAGAAATGAGGCTCAGCGCCAGAACCAGCATGATTAAAAAGAGGTCAGGCTAATCACGGCAGCTAATCTGTCCCTGGAACAGAACGGGCTAATAGGGGGGAAGTTAGCCCAGGCACGCTACTGTAGTCTCCACGAACACACAACTGCCGGTTGGGATCTTGAGAAGCTTTAATAGAACAGGATGTTGATTTTTTTTGCAGATACAGCTCAAAATTCGCAAGACTGAGAAAAGCAAATTAGCAATCAGTGCTAACAGCGGGAAAACATTCTGGAAAGTCGTGCAACAGCGCTGCGCACACGAGGAAAAGCTTATATGAAATTATCTGGAGACACTCAAAGACTATATACGGTCAAAGGATAATTGAGGCTCACTCCACCATTTCTGTACTTTAGCCAACACCTAACTGGACATGGAAGTTATGTTTTTTTTTTTTCTTTTCCAACATTCAGGAATGGCTATTTCACATTTCTCAAACAGATACAGAAAATCAAAGGTTTTCTCTCTGACTAAGAATGAGGTTGCGGTTCTCAACTAGGAAAAGTTATCAGGTATCTTAGGTGTTGACTGCAAGTAATAGTAATATTAAGCTGGAAATGAAAAGGTGAATTGGGGTCAGTCTTGGTAAAGAAAGAGGATGGTCAAAAAAAAGTTCTTAATTTGATTGATGGCTAATGTGCTAAAGGCAGCACCTGAATTGAGCTTTCTTCAAAGAATGATTGCACTCAGCCTTAAACAATCTTTATTTGAACAAGAAGCCTGGAACAACCCAGTGAGCCCAGCTTCTCCTGGAGATCGGTAGAAATGAGAACCATCCCCGCCCTGACTGTAATGTTCTTGTAAGGTATACAGGCTGAATCATGAAGAGACCCCACAGATGACGCTGTGGGGGATGCCCCAGAGGTTTGTATTTTTTATTACTTGTACTGAAATAGCCCACAAATGTTGAGTTATTACATTTAGTTTTATGGTTTGTCACCCAGCCTTATACATGCCTGTAGGCAGATAGCATTATCTTCAGAGGAAAGATGTGAAATGATTTATTTTCATTGGTTCTGCAAGATACGGTAAGAGTTCAGTTATACATTTCAGAATAACTTTTTTCTGGTGGCTCCAAAGTGGATGTTTCAGTTTTTAAAATGTCTCCCTAGTAGAAATGGGGAGTCACTGTCCAAATTTGACAAGGTCTGACACTTTTATAAGTATCGTACTTATTAGAAAGTATAAGTTAGTATAAGAAAGTATTCGACCCGCACCACAGTTCACTTCAACCGAACCAACATCTAAGTTTGTAGTTTGTTTTTCTTTTTTGGTCTGCATCAGAGTCCAATTACGCATCACACCTCCCCAAAAGCAACTGGACTTTCTAAGCAAACGAACTACAGTTTGACTAAAGCGGACAAAACAGGTCTGGTGTGAAAGCACCCTTACTATGACAGAATCTAAATGCAGCCAACTGTAGACTTTGGCAAAGAAGCAGGGCAAGAATTGAAAAAGTGGGGCAGTGACGTAGGAGCAATGTCTGGTGCGCTGCGAGGTCTGTCTGGTTCTCAGAGTATCCTCCTTTTCCCCTCCTTTCTGAAGTTTGTGTCGCCCCCCCCCCCACCACCCACGCCCTCCATAAAACCACACGCACACCTGGAATAGCATAAGAGTCCGTCTGCCCAAAACAGCAGACCTACCAGGGAAAACGCTCTGGCTACATCTCCTCTGTCTGACTCCTCTGGTTTCTCCTCCCGGCCAAGCCAAGTCCTCTGGCACGGAGCAGCCCATTATACAGAGCAAATAAGCCGTGGCTATAGGCTCCAGCGGCTTCTCAGAAAGACAGGCACAGGGTGCGCAACAAAACGTGTGTGACAAGAGAAAGAGGAGCACATGAGCCTCAGCTGCTCCGAAGGCCTCGCCGAGCTCAAAGCACGTCTCGGGGATGTTAAGTGTTGGCCGACTTAAAAGTTTGGCTGTAGGTAGATAACAGTAAAAGACATCCAAGGTCAGTGTTGTTGTTGTTGTTGGCCTCCGTCGACTTCAGAAACGGTGAGCGAGACGAGGAGGAGACGAGCAAAAATGCAATCCCTAAGAGGAGTTTGCAACTTCACAGACAGAATATTTACAGTGCAAAACTAACAAAACCTTGTGGGACTTTGTTGCATTTTGTTACTTTATAACCACAGACTTTGATGCACCATGTTGGAGGTTTTCAAATATGTTCACCTCTGCATTCATATTCACGTTTTATCAAATGTTTGAAACAGCAAGTGACTTGAGACTAAAGCAGACAATTTCAGAACTTGAGCCTAGTTCACAAGAACACCTGGGAAAACTGATACATTTTCATGCATTTTCATCCACAAAAACTAAAAACAATTATTTATAAAAACTCTGACCAAAGTCAAGATTTGAGAATCTGGATTGGTATAGCACTATCAATATATTACATGAAAAAAAGTCTTGAAACAACAATATTATCGTTTATCACGATAATTTTTGGGACAATGTACAAACCAGTAAAAACGGTTCTCGTCACAGGCCCATTTACAAGTACTAAACCCAATCTGACTGAGCTTGATGAAAAAGACAGGAGGTTGAATTCAAATGTGTGCCACCCGTCTTCAGACAATAAAAATACCGTCCTTTGTAACGTGACAAGACATGAAAAAGTTTGAGGCACTCTGAAATCTCCAAGCTTCTCATCTCTGTTTGAGTCTCTTTGCCGTTCCGCAGCTGAAATCATTCATCATAAAGTTCAAGTGTGCGGCGAACAAACTGTTATTGAACAGACCCCGTCACCCCCTCCCCGTTAAAGAGCCACACACAAAAACAAAGCCATCCTCTGATGCTCTCCAAACCGCAGCCTCTACAGCGCAGACCATGTGGAATCTGCTGGAGAGTTCTTCTTCTTCTCCACCTAATTCTCCCGTACCCCCTCCATAACCCCCCTCCACCCCCAGCAATCTAGTGACGATACGTCAACGACCCCGGACCATATCACGCACCCCCCTTCTGGCAACCCCTGGCCGAGGTCGCGCCTGCAAACGCCGCGAAAGGAGCCGAGTAAAAAGTTCTGAACGAAACACAAGGCGTGCAAACACTCTCCGCTTCTCCATGGCAACTGGGAAAATGTTTACGCTCTGGACCAGGGGAGCTCCTGAACGCTGGCTGGGATCCGGTTTCTGTGGCGACGGACTCGGCATCTCTCCCTCTGTGTTTGGGCATCCGACCGTGTTGATGTTATGCGTGGCGCAGGAATGCGCGCACATA